TCCGACAGTTCAGACGTTGTTTTCGGTACAATCGTGGCTGGACGGAATGAACCGCTTCCCGGGATTGACTGTATGGCTGCGCCCACCATCACCTCGGTGCCAGTCCGAGTAAGTTTTGATCAGAGCGACAAAGTGCGTGATTTCCTGCAGCAAGTGCACGCAAATTCTACCACCATGCTTCCGCACGAATCCATTGGACTGCAAAATATTCAAGCACTGGGAGAGGACGCCCGCCGTGCATGCGCCTTCCGCAACATCTTCCTCATTCAACCCTCCGCAGACAAGGCATCAACTGACATGCCCTATGAACACGAAATGGTCGTTTTGGACCTTGGTAACTCGCACACCTACCCGCTCGTTGTCGGCTGCAGTCTAGCAAGCTCAGGACCTGTTGAAGTCTCCATGACCCACGACCCTGCCGTGCTAGACTCGCACCAGACACGTTGGTTGATGATGCAATTTGCTCATCTGGTCAAGCAGTTATGCCGCGATGAATGCCAGGAGTTGCCCATCTCAGACCTCAGTTTCCTCAGTCCAGACGATGCAGCGCAAATTTCAGCCTGGAATGCGCCACTCGATATTGACAGACACGTGAACTGCACAATCCATCAACTCGTGCACGAGACTGTCCAGAAACTGCCGGACGCTCCCGCCATCTCTGCGTGGGACGGCGAAATGACATACCGCGAATTAGATGAGTGGTCAGACGTCCTGGCTTCATTCCTACTGGCTAAGGGTGTGCGCGTGGAAGACACTGTGGCGTTGTGTTTCGAGAAGTCGAAATGGTATCCTGTCTGCGTTCTCGGTGTTCTCAAGGCAGGAGGGGCGTTAGTACCCCTAGATATAAAGCAGCCACGTACTCGCCTTGAGGTCATCGTGGAAGAAGTGAGACCGAAGCTCCTACTCGCCTCGCCAATTCAAGCAACTCGCCTCGATGGCCTTGTCAGTGCCACTACCATTGTTACCTCGTCTTTCTTGCAAGACGTCCGCGCTCTCATCGATGACGAACAGCGGCAGCGACTCACTGGAGTCAAAGTGCAACCGCAAAATCTTTGTTTCGTCTTTTTCACATCTGGAAGCACTGGCAAACCAAAAGGAATCTTACTGGAGCATGGTCCATTCTGCTACAGTTCCCAACAATTTGCCAAGTGGGTGCGCATGAACCAGACCGACCGTGTGTTACAATTTTCGAACCATGTCTTCGATATTTCATTGACCGAAATTCTGTCTACACTCCTTGTTGGCGGCTGCATCTGTATCCCTTCAGAAGAAGCCCGTGTAGACAATCTTGCTGGCTTTATCGGTTCTGCCAGTGTCAGCGCCCTCTATCTTACTCCGTCAGTGGCTTCAACACTTGATCCTCGAAGCCTCCCTTCAGTGAAGAAACTTGCTCTTGGAGGAGAACATGCTACACGGAAGCTGGTAGAAGACTGGGCACCACGCTCACAATTGACAATTGGCTACGGCCCAGCAGAGTGCTCAGTCTGGATGGCTGGCAATGTGGGAGTCTCTGCAGAGGCCAGCCCCTCCAACATTGGCCGCAGCAACTCATCTCTGGTCTGGATTGTGGATGTCTCTGACAGTAACCGCCTTGCACCTCTGGGCGTGGTAGGCGAGATGCTCATAGAAGGGCCAATTCTGGCACGTGGGTACACAACCAGCGCTCTCACACAAAGCGCCTTCATCTTTCCTGCATTCGCCAATAAGGGGAACGTTGCTCCCAGACGCATGTACAAGACAGGTGATCTTGCCAAGTACAACTCAGATGGAACCCTCCACATCGTCGGCCGAAAGGATGCCCAAGTCAAGATCCGTGGCCAAAGGGTCGAACTTGAAGATGTTGAGCACCACATGCGAAAGGTAGCATCATCTACGGATTATTGTCTTGCCGCTGAGGTCATCCGTCCAGGCGGGGGCGATGATTCGCTCCTTCTGGTGGGTTTCATCGAGACCGGCGAAGTCGACGTGGCGAGCATCATCGACCAGATCGATCAAGAGATGCCAGACTGGGTACCCGTATACATGGTCCCGTCAAGAATATTCCCCATTAAAGAGCTTCCACGGCTCATCAACGGTAAGCTCAACCGGAGAGAGTTGCGGCAGATTGGAACTCGCATGTATCGGGAGCAAGGAGGTGCGGTGGCCAAATCAACATCGAGTCGCGCCCCTGAAACCGAGGCTGAGAAGGTTCTTGCGGAGATGTGGGCTGAGGTACTGGGCTTTGGTGACGCCATCGGGGCTGAAGACCATTTCGTCAGACTCGGTGGTGACTCAGTCAAAGCCATGAGACTATCTGGCGCTGCACGAAAGCAAGGATTCACTCTTGCTGTCTCCAGTATTATGACGAAGCCGAGGCTTTCCCACATGGCATCAGAAATGAAGGCTACAGATGGGAGAGAAATCGCAGAAATCGCAGCCTTCTCCTTGGTCAAACATAGTGGCAGCGCAGCCAACTTCCGCGCTAACTTGGCGAGAGAGACAGGAATAACAGCCGAGCTCATCGAGGATGCCTACCCCTGCACATCTTTGCAACAAGGTCTTTTCACTACTTCTTTGAGGTATTCTGGTGCCTACGTTGCGCGATGGATTGTAGACTTCGGTTCGCAGGTTAACATTAATCGATGGAAGGACGCGTGGCACTCCGTCATAGAGGCGCATCCCATCCTGCGGACCAGAATTGTCCAGCCGGAAGGACTTGGCCTGACCCAGGTCGTAATCAGCCCGGAGCAGAAGGTCGACTGGCACGTTGCTCAGGAGTTGAATGGCTACATCACGCAAGACCGCGAAGCTCCAATGGGACTGGGGGATCCGCTCGTTAGATTTGGCATCGTGGCAGACAAGTCCTTTGTATTCACTGCGCACCATGCGATATACGACGCAGTTTCGCTACGCTTGCTGGCAAATGCTGTCGCAACGGCCTATCATGGCAGTCCCGTGCCCAGACCCCCGCCCTACAATCGCTTCATCAAATGGCTATCCAGCCTCGACGCCGCCGCCTCTAAAACATTCTGGACCTCTTATCTTGAAGGTGCCTCAGCACCCACATTCCCGCAGGATGCTCCCCCAACTCATACCCTCAATGCGAACAGCGTTGTAGAACGCGATTTCTCCTTGCAGAGGCAACACATCTCCAGTTTCACGACCGCCACACTCCTTCAGACAGCTTGGGCAATCCTGCTTGGTCGATATGGCGAATCACGAGATGTCATCTTCGGTGTCACCCAGTCAGGCCGCTCTGCTCCGTTACCCCAGATTGAAAAAATGACCGGCCCCACGGTCACTACCGTGCCTGTGCGTGTCCAGCTGTCTGATGGTGCACAAACAGTAGCCGAGGTGCTCCAACGCGTCCAGGATGCAAGCACACAGATGATTGCGCACCAGTACGCTGGCCTACAGAAAATTCGCCGTATATCCTCCCACGCAAAAGCGGCATGTGAGTTTCGTACCTTGATTCAACTCCATGCAATAGAGGATGAAGAAGATGGCAATCGAACGACCCCCAAACAAGACCCACTCGATTTTTTGAACAGTGGACACAATGACGACGACGTTGGTAGCTTCCACGTCTATCCGCTCGCGGTCACATGCACCTTCACCGAAAAGGAAATTCACGTGCAGGCCGTTCACGATCCTGTCCTTCTGCCGCCCTTCCAGATGCAGCGGATGCTGGGGCAGCTCGAACACATTCTCTGCCAATTGTCCAGCGCGGATTCAACCATGGCGCTTCGAGACGTTGATCTAGTCAGCAAAGATGACCGTACCCTATTGCGCCTGTGGAACTCTACTAAACCCGCTGTCGTGGAGAAATGCCTGCACACCTTGTTCGAAGAGCGAGTCGCAATGGATCCAAAGCGTGCCGCGCTCCGCACGACCTCCGGTACCTTGACCTATGCGGAAGTGGAGAGATTTGCCAACCGCGTAGCACATACACTGCGCCAACAGGTTCAGGGCAGCGGACAAACCTTCATTCCCATGTGTTCGGAAAAGTCCGTTTGGGCCGTGATAGGCATGCTCGGCATTCTCAAGGCTGGATATGCATTCATCTTGATGGATCCAAGTCAACCTGAGAAGCGTCTACGCCAGATTTTAGAAACGGTAGGAGCCAAGGTTGCTTTGGTTTCGTCATCAGCGGCACCGAAATTATCCTCTTTAATCGACTCCACTATCACAGTTGATACCTCAACAGTTGAGGCAATGGAGGACTCAGGAGAGCAGAGTAGCAGCGATGCACATACTCCCGCATACGCACTGTTCACGTCTGGTAGCACAGGCGAACCCAAGGGCTGTGTGATCGAGCATTGCAGTTTTGCATCCTCAGCATATGGGCATACCGCCGCCTTCCAAATCGATGCCGACACTTGCGCTCTCCAATTTGCCTCGTACACCTACGGCGCGGCACTTATCGAGACCTTGACAGTGCTCCTCGCAGGCGGCTGTGTATGCATCATTTCTGAGGAAGAACGTGCAACTAATCTCGTCGAATGCATCAATAAACTAGAGGTCAATTGGGCTGTTCTGACGCGGTCATCACTCGGTCTTCTAGGCGGCCCAGAGCGCGTCCCCAAGCTACAAACGCTCGTCACTGCTGGTGAACCTCTTTCCGCCGACGCCGTAGCGAAATGGGCTTCCAAGCTCTCTCTTCTGCAAGGCTACGGCCAGGCGGAGGCGTCAGTTGTCTCGACGCTAACGAAACCGATGGCGCCTGGATCGAGCCCAAGAAACATTGGTAGCTGCGTCTCCGGTCATGCTTGGGTCGTGGAGCCCGACAATCATGAGAAGCTCTGTCCCATTGGCGCTGTCGGCGAATTGCTGATCGAAGGACCACATGTGGGCTCTGGGTATATCAACAAGCCGGAAATCACAGCCACGGTCTTCGTCGAAAAGCCATCCTGGTTTAACTCTATGGATTCTGCCGAAGTCTGGTCCCGGGCGCAGCGATTGTATAGGACTGGCGACATGGTTCGCTGGTGCCCCGACGGGACGCTAGAGTACGTGGGCCGCCGGGACACGCAGATCAAGATCAACGGCCAGCGCGTGGAGCTGGGTGAGATTGAGAGCCTGCTGCGCAACCTGCTGGCTGGTCAGGGTGTCAACAGCGTCGCGGTGGACGTCGTGCAGCATGAATATGGCAGTGACAAGAAGACAGGCAGCCTAGCTGCTTTCTTAACCTTTGGCAACAGCTCCAGCCTAGTTGAAAGTCAGCAGATGCTAGACAAGGCGACCCAGGGTTTGTTGGAGAAGCTCTCGCGGGTTTTGCCCCGCTTCATGGTACCCAGCCTCTTCTTGCCTTTGCAGGAACTGCCTCTCACTGCGTCGGGGAAGATTGACCGTACAGCACTACGTAAAATTGGTGCCGAGCTCAGACGGCGTCAACATTGTCACGCCAGAGGAGAAAAGGCTCGGTTCAGCGACATGGAGCGCCGACTCATAGCTCTGTGGTCGGCTGCACTCGAGACTGAAGATGAACTGACCGTCGACAGCAATTTCGTGGAACTCGGCGGCGATTCTCTCGATGCGATGATGCTGGTTTCTTCTGCGCGGCGCGACGGCATCGAACTCAGTGTAGCAGACATATTCAAGCACCCCAGACTCGCAGCCATGGCGCTCGCCGCGAAGACCGTGGAGAGCGACGTTTGGGATCAGCCGGCGCCGTTCTCGCTTGTGGCAGGAGACTCGTCTGCAACTATTATCGAGGCAGCCAAAGCCTGTGGCATTGAAGTAGAGGCCGTGGAAGACGTATACCCTTGCACTCCCCTTCAAGAGGGGTTGATGGCGCTTTCAAACGTCGAACAAGGAGCTTATCTCGCGCAGCATGTTGTTTCGGTGTCTCCCAAGGCGGATTTGGACCGAATGAAAGCTGCATGGGCGCAGGTTGTGCAGAAAACGCCTGCGCTGCGCACCCGTATCATCCAGACGACTACGGACGGACATATGCTGCAAGTTGTTGTCAAGGAGCCGTTGGTCTGGGCTTCTGGGGACAACCTGCAAGCCTACATAAAGACAAAGAGAGTGACGCCAATGTCACTGGGCGACCGCCTCAGTGAGCACGCTATCATCGTTTCTGGTGGAGAGACGCTTATGGCATGGGTATGCCACCACGCCATCTTCGATCGCTGGGCCTGGAAAGTCATAATGAAGAGATTAGAGGATATTTATAATGGACTTGACTGGGCCCCATTACCTCCTTATAACCGGTTCATCCAGCATCTCCAGGAACTGGACATGGACGCTGCTAAGAAATTCTGGACAGATTACCTTGAGGGTGCGGAGAAGACAGCTTTCCCTTCGTGGCCCTCGTCTGTTCGCACGCCACAGCCCATCGATCTTGCGGAGCACCACATATCCGTCTCTCGAATCACTGAGACCAGCCAATCTGTCACGATTTCTAGCGTGCTGCAGGCGGCATGGGCATTGCTCGTCTCTCAGTACGCCGAGACCGAGGACCCTGTGATTGGGTTGACGCTCTCTGGAAGAATTGCACCCGTTGCGGGCATCCAGGAGATGGCCGGCCCAACTATTGTCACCATCCCACTCCGCTTCCGAATCGAGCGTACGCAAAAGGCCAGTGAGCTTTTCATTCATGCTCAAGATATGGCTCTCAAGACGGCGTCGACACAGCATATTGGCCTACAACATATCCAACAACTCAGCCCAAGTGCACGCGCCGCTTGCACTTTTGACAGCCTGCTTTTAATTCAACCGCAGGTAAAGGGCGACGACCTCGTTGACAGCCCATTCCTGCATGGTGCCGAACCCGAATTGTTCTCTTCATTCAATAGCTATGGCTTGATTCTCCATTGCGAGCTCCTCGCTGGTGGAATCCACGTCCGGGCTTTGTTCGATCCCCTTATCATCGAGCCTTTACAGGTGCAACGCATGCTGTACCAACTGGACCATGTCATGCAACAGCTTTGCAACAAAAAGGACCTACTCATTGCGGACATTGACTTCACTAGCACACAAGACAAACAGGATATTCGTCGCTGGGGCTGTTCCACCGGATTTGACGACTCCTGCATCCACACCCTCATCGAACGGCAGGCTGCGGTCCGCCCTAACGCTCCTGCAATCTGCTCATGGGACGGAGAGCTATCCTATAACGAGCTTGATACACTAGCCTCCGGCCTTGCCACATACTTGCGACGGCAGCTCAGCTCCACGTCCCAAACAGTAGTGCCACTCTATTTTGAGAAATCCATGTGGACACAGGTCGCCATGTTGGGCGTACTCAAAGCCGGGTATACCTTCGTCATGCTCGATCCAGCTCACCCGATGAACAGAATTCGGCTGATATGCGCCAAGGTTAACGCCCATCTCGCCATTGTCTCCAGAGGCTTCTCCAAGCGCTTGTTAAATGTGGTTGACGATCTCATCGTCCTTGACCTTGACTTGGTGGACAAGCTGCCTACTGGAGGCGCTCCCAACATTGCCACAAGCACTAGAGACGCCGCTTATGTTATTTTCACGTCGGGTAGCTCAGGTGAACCCAAGGGCGTGATCGTTGAACACAGGTCATTTGCAGCCGCGGCGCGCGGTATGGCTGCCCGCGTTTCCATCAATGCCGAAACACGCGCTCTTCAGTTCGCGTCGTACAGCTTCGGTGCCGCATTGATGGAGATAATGGTCACGCTGATTATGGGTGGCTGTGTGTGCGTCCTTTCCGACGAAGAGCGCATGGATGCCGTCTCTCAGGCCATGAACGAGAGGCGCGTGAACTGGGCGTTCTTCACACCGTCCTTCTCAGGGATCCTGAGCCCCGCTATTGTTCCTTCGCTGAAGACGCTCACTCTTGGCGGGGAAGCCGTCAACCAGGCACAATTGCGCATATGGGCCGACCGTGTCAATCTCTTCACACTGTATGGCTCCGCCGAACAGAGCGTCATTTCTCACGGCTCGCAGCGTCTGTCTGTCCACAGCAACAGCAACGAGATCGGTTCGCCATTTGCCGGTAATCGGGCTTGGATCGTTGACGCGAAAAATGGTAGTAGACTAGTACCAGTTGGCGCTGTTGGAGAACTGGTGGTGGAGGGTCCGATTGTGGCACGCGAATACATGCACGATCCGGATAAGACGGGCGCTGCCTTTCCTGCTAGCTTCCCTTGGCGATCGGGCTTCCCAGGAAGAACCGAACGATTTTATAAGACAGGTGACTTGGTCAAGTACGGCCCCAAAGGCGAGATTCTCTACATTGGACGCCGCGACGGACAGGTCAAGCTTCGCGGCCAGAGAATCGAGCTCGGCGAGATCGAGTACCATCTCAAGCGTTTTGTAGCATCGTCAGTTTCTGCTCTGAGCGTCGAGATTGTGGTACCTCAGGGCGAGAAGCCTGACAAAGCGGCGCTGGCGGCCTTCATTGCTCTAGGTGCGGACTACGAGGGCGAGGGCGAGGCTAACATCGACATTCTCAGTTCTACAAATAGGAAAACCCTCGCTGCCAGACTTGGCGAAGTCGAGAGAAAGCTCGCCGAAGTGCTGCCATCTCACATGGTTCCGCGCATCTTCCTCCCGTTGCGCAAAATTCCTCTCACTGTGTCAGGCAAGGTGAACCGAAAAGCCCTGCGGGAAATGGGCGCCCGGATACCAGCTGCGCAGTTCGCAGAGCTCTCTCTTACAGCCTCGGCGAAGCGCACGCCGTCCACTCCCATGGAGAAGACGCTTCAGACACTTTGGAGCCAAATTTTGTCCCTGGCTCCTTCAGACATCAGCGCCGATGATACGTTCTTCGATCTTGGCGGCGACTCCCTCAGCGCCATGCGTCTGTCTACGGTAGCGCGGGAAGCAGGCCTCACCCTCCGTGTTGCTGACGTCTTTGCAGGGCGTGTGCTCTCCGAGATAGCGGAGAAGTGTTGCAAGGAGCAGGAGAACAAAATGGTCTACAGGCCCTTCTCGACTCTGCACGATACGGGCGACTTGGATGCCTTGATCCGAGAGCACATTGCGCCGCGCGCCAATGTTCATCCGTTGGAGATTGAGGACGTGGCGAGGGCGACGGATTTGCAAACGCGGATGGTTGCCGCTTCGCAACTAAAGAAGCGGTATACCGTTTACTACGTAACACTGGATCTTTTGGGTGAACTTGATACGGTGATGTTGAAGGAGGCATGCAAGAAAATTGTTGCGCACTACCCAATCCTCCGCACTGTTTTCGTATACTACAAGCGGCAATTACTCCAAGCCGTCATCCGCTCTCCAACCGTCGATTTCGAAGAGCACACCGTAAACGCAGACATAGAGGGCGCCAGCGGCGACTACGTCACCCGCGACCGACAGCGCGCTTCTCCTCCCACCCAACAAGGCGTTCGCTTCGCCTTGCTCAAGTCTAATAAAGCAAGCCGCCTCTTAATCCGCCTCCCTCACGCTCAGTACGACGCCATCTCGCTCCCAATTATACTCTCCGCCCTGCGGACCTCGTACGCTCAACCGCACACTCCCCTCTTACCCTCCCCGTCTTTCGCCGCCTTCCTCCACGCTGATCAATCCGCCCAAGCTGCCGCGGCGCAGTTCTGGCAAGCAGAGCTCTCCGGCGCCCGTATGACCAACATCATCGCCTACCCAGAAGCAGGTGAAGACAGTGACCCCATCGAGCCTACGCACCCGCTCTCGTCAACGCTCACCCGCTACGTCTCCACGCCGCAGCCAGCCAACAACCGCGCGAACAACCACGCCTTCACAACCGTCCTGAAGGCCGCGTGGGCCGCGACGCTGGCCTCAGTGTCATCATCATTGACACGCACTAGCGACGAGAAAGAGGTAGATAACGACGCAATCGTCTTTGGTGAGACGCTGGCGAACCGTGCGGTTCCGCTCGATGGCGTCGACGCTGTCGTCGGGCCGTGCCTGACTACAGTGCCGGTCCTGGTGCGTCGCAGAGTGCTCAGTATGAGCAATGCGGACCTCTTGACTGCCGTTGCGAAGCAGGGACGTGAGACGGTGGCGTATCGTGGTGTGAGATTCGCGGATTTGGGACTGCCGGGAGGAGCCAAGCGGTTCAGCTCGACAGTGGCGCATATGGAGTTGGATGCGGTGAAGATGTTCGAAGACGAAGGCGGCGCGCTGAAAGGGGACTTCGGTCACGGGGTGAAGTGTACGAAGGTTGGCTGGGTAGGTGAGGCGTGGGATTCAGCGGATGTGGCAATCGAGACGGCAACAGTGGTAGCTAGTGGAAGGGAAGGTGGTGCCGGAGTGAGGGTGGCACTGCATTTTTGCGATGAGGTGGTGCCGACGAGGGTAGCAGAGGTGATGGTGGATAGGTTGTGCGAGTATCTTGGGGTGCTGTGGGGATGTGCTGGCGATGTTAAGTTCCATCTATTGAAGGAGCTCCCTGCGGTAAGGATTCCACTCCCTGCATTAGTAGCAGCTTTTTAGCTATAATTAAGTAGGAGGATCTAAAAGGGTTCTTATACGGCTTAGAGGTATATAGAAGTACAAGCCTATATTAAATATTAAATAAATAGATTGCTATACCTATAGGTCTCTGTAAAGGGCTTAGGCTTACGCCTAAGCCTAGGCCTAACATAGGATAGATAGAGTCTAACACTACTAGTAAGCGAACACGCTATATACCTATAAAAAGGCGTAGAGGGCTTACCTCTCCTTTAAGATACTAAATACTATTATTAATACTTATTATATTCTCCCTTAAGGCTAGTGTATAATATTTTAGTATCTTCTTTTAAATATACTATAATAGTAATAGAGATAGACACGCTAGATATTTAGAATAATTAGGAATAACCTAATATAGTAGAAAGGCTAATATAGTAGGTCTATAGATTAATAGAATAATAGGCTTAAGACCCTACTATAATAGCTATACTATATTAGTAGAATAAGGAAATATATAATTAGATTCTATCCTAACCCCCCTCTAAGCCTACTAGTTTTAATAACCTACTACCTCTACCCCCCTCTACTATATATTATAAATCTATCCTAGTTAGCTTGCTATATAATAGCACTAAGGTAAACTTCTCCTTCTAGTAAATAACTATAGAATTTAAACTACGTGTAGATAAGGTCTTTATTAGGGATAAAGAGGTAAGGTTTATATATATTTAGTCCTAGTTATTACCTATAGTCTAGCGTGCTATAGTAGTATACTTTAAGGATAGTATATATAAGCGTTAGGATATAAGTAGGTTTCTTAACTACCTAGTATTCTATTATAGTAACTATTATAGGTAGGAGTACGCCTAAGTTATATTAAAAACACCTATATTAGGGCTAAAATTAGCCTTTTATAGAGTTCTTTGTAAATTTTGTGTAGCTTCTTATATAGTTAGGAGGTCTATACTAGGATAATAAATAGAAGCTTTTATAACTACAATAATTGCTTAATAGCTATATGCGCTTAGTTTCCCTTAATAGGGGAGTCTCTAGGATAAACTATAATATAGCTATAGAAGAATATAAGATAATTATAGCAGATATTAAAGTAACCTCCCTAGAACTAGGCTTTCTTTAGGCTAGTAAGTCTAAGTGTTATAGACTAGCCTTAAGGGAGAATACAATAAGTGTTAACAATAGTATTTAGTATCTTAAAGGAGAGGTAAGCCCTCTACGCCTTTTTATAGGTGTGTAGTGTGTTCGCTTAGTAGTAGTAGTGTTAGACTTAGTCTATCTTGTGTTAGACCTAGGCTTAGGTATAAGCCTAAGCCCTTTATATACCCCTAACCTTCCCTATAAACTATTATAAAATTACCTTTCTAGGGGTCTAGAGTTATATCTTTGTCCTCTATAATCTATATTAGGCTTTATTATTATATTTTTTAGTTTTATTATTATATCTTTATATTCCTTCTTAATTTATAATAGGCCTATATATTAAGTAGTACGCGCGTGTGGTGTTTATACGCTTATTTTAGTACCCTACTATAAAAGTTCTAATATAGCTATCCTACCCTACTATAAATTTCCTAAACTTACTTTATTATATAATAGATTTTCCCTACTAATTAGCCCTCTCTCTACTCTTTCTCTATTAATCCTGCCTATCTAGCCCCTATTATATCCTTATCTACCGCTACTAGTACTAGTAGTAGGGATCTACTATAAGGTAGTTAGACCCTACACTAGGCCTACTAAGATAAGGTGCGTACTTCTAATATTCTCCCTATATTTCCTATACTAACTTTTTACTTAGTATATATCTCCTTAAATATAGTTACTTAGTAGCTTTATTATTTCTAGTAACTTAGATAATAAGGAATATAATAGTAGCTTTATAAAGCTACTTCCCTATAATTAGTATATTAACTAGCTTTATCTCTTTAGTAAGTATAACTATTAGGAAGGTAGTAGTAAGTTCCCTTTTGTGAAGGGCTTGGGCTTATGCCTAAGCCTAGGCCTAACATAGGATAGATAGAGTCTAACACTACTAGTAAGCGAACACGCTATATACCTATAAAAAGGCGTAGAGGGCTTACCTCTCCTTTAAGATACTAAATACTATTATTAATACTTATTATATTCTCCCTTAAGGCTAGTGTATAATATTTTAGTATCTTCTTTTAAATATACTATAATAGTAATAGAGATAGACGCGCTAGATATTTAGAATAACTAGGTGTAACCTAATATAGTAGAAAGGCTAATATAATAGGTCTATAGATTAATAGAATAATAGGCTTAAGACTCTGCTATAATAGCTATACTACGTTAATAGAATAAGGAAATACGCAATTAGATTCTATCCTAACCCTCCTCTAAGCCCGCTAGGTTTAATAATATACTGCCTCTACCCTCTCCTGCCTTATATTACAAACTCTTCCTAGTTAGCTTGCTATATAATAGCACTAAGGCAAACTTCTCCTCCTAGTAAATAACTATAGAGTTTAAACTATATGCAGACAAGGTCTTTATTAGGGATAAGGAGGTAAGGTTTATATATATTTAGTCCTAGTTATTACCTATAGTCTAGCGCGCTATAGCACTATACTTTAAGGATAGTGTATATAAGTATTAGAATATAAGCAGGTTTCTTAACTACCTAGTTTTCTATTATAGTAACTATTATAGGCAGGAGCGCGCCTAAGTTACGTTAGAACACTTATATTAGGGCTAAAATTAGCCTTTTATAGAGTTCTTTGTAAATTTTATATAGCTCCTTATATAGTTAGGAGGTTTATACTAGAATAATAAATAAAAGCTTTTATAACTTTAGTAATCTCTTAATAGTTATATGCGCTTAGTTTCCCTTAATAGGGGAGTCTCTAGGATAAACTATAACATAGCTATAGAGGAATACAAGATAATTATAGTAGATATTAAAATAGCCTCTCTAGAACTAGGCTTTCTTTAGGCTAGTAAGTCTAAGGAACCCTAGTAGAAGTCTAACTTAGATTAGGATAGCAATATAAATATAGTAGAAGTAGCAGTCTTATTAAGTGCACCTACTAAACTACTAATATTATGTCCTAACTAGATCCTATAGGACCTATTTAATATATAGAAACTAGCAAAGGTCTGCACCTAGTATAGATAGGGCAGTTATTTTATGCGTGCATGCCCTAATGCCCTATTACTATAACTAGTAGGTGTTAAGACAGTTGCAGTATTAGCAAGCGGCCCTAATTTAGGAAACTAGCTGCCCCTAACTTTAGGCTAAGTTAGGGGTATAAGGAGGACACTATAATAGAGGAATTATTAATAGTAGAGGCTATTAAGTATCCCCTAGATATTAAGGCTAGGTTAAATAATCCTTCTTTCTTTATTCCCCTCCTACTAGGTAGAGTAGAGAACGTGCAAGCAATAGTTAATTTAGGGTGCTAGTGTTTTAGTATAGTTAAGGAAAAGTTAGCAAGATAGATTAGTAGGAACTTTATAGATATTCCCCTACAACCCTTATAACATACCTAGGGAATTACTAAGGGTATAAGAATTTTATAGTTAGTAGTATTAGACTATAATTTAGATAGTTAGTAGTCTTAGCTTTTAGCCTATATAGTACCTAGTCTCTCCTATTAACTAATACTAGGTAGACTATAGCTATGTAGAGAGGGCGTTATTATAGATATTCTATAAGGTAAATTAATAATTAGGAAGGTAGGAAATATAGTAGTATAAGAGAGCAGGAGACGCCTATATCCTACCTATATCTCTATTATCTTAGGTTTAGTTATAGCAGGGTTGCTAAATTAAGGACCCTAATAGGAAGATATATAGGTATAAATTTTTATAATAAATATACTAGATATTTTATAGGTAATATATAACTTACGCCTAATAAAATATCTAGGAAGTGTTAATAAAGGAAGTCCTATTAATATATATACTTTCTATATTACTAATAGTATAGTTCCCTATAAGCCTAACCGC